TTTTTTTTTTTGGGTTGCCAACACTTTACTGCACAAATGGCGGCAAATTCAAATCTTGCGTTAATTTTGGGACACCCTTTATCAAAGGAAGAAATAAACTGTGGTACGCGGTTTCCTAGTTGCCTAGTTACTTACTATTATGGCTCCTGTACACTGGACGCGGAAACGCTTGCCGCACGGCAAAATGAGACGCGATAACCAATGAGCACATTAGGAGCTGTAAGCTTATTGGCTACCGCATCACATTTTGCCGCGCGGCAAGTGTACAGTGTGTAGAAGCCATTAGTAACTGTACCGCGTACCACATTCCATGTAATCGCACCCGCAGCGTTCGGTGTCAAAGTGCTGTTGCCTATATGAGAATCCAGGCTAAGTTTTCGAACGCAATGGACAAAAGATAGCCCTCTATCGGAATAAACGTAAACTATGGAATTTCATAATAAGTTTTGGAACGTAATATTGTATAAAAAGAGCTCTCGAAATCTCTGTTAAAAAGGCGGGAAGTCATGACCGTGTCGTGCGAACATGCTATTGATGTTATCGTGTTACACTTTGTGAGCCAAAGACTAGCAAAATAAATATTTTATTTGAAATTACAACGCGAAAGTAATTTTCACAAGTTTAGTCGTTTATTATTAACGAAGAAGTTCTCGACACGGTACACGCTTGATACGTTCATCACTGATGTCTGTTCCAGGTTGTTTCGTTCTTAACATTCGTTAGTTTTTCATCGTTGAAATATTTTTATTGCTTTTCGAGAAATTTTGAGGAAAATCGAAGAAGGGAAAAGCAATGTACTACGTTCTTAACGGATCGAGAGATCGTAAATAAAGCAGAAAAAAGGATATTGATGTTGAAGTATGAAAGATATCAAGCAATATTTTGCCAATGGCAAGAATATCGCTGATAAGGAGATTGATACTGATCTAGGCAATGTAAAAGAGGAGGATCAAAAACAAGAAGATGTTGCGACAAATAAACACAAACGTGTGAGGCGGATATCCAGCAATAGTTCTTCAAGCAGAATGTATAACATCGAGAACAAGAACGATCTAATCGACAAAACGTTTAGTCCATTCAATGGTGAGATAAACAACGTCGAAAGAACTTTGCAAGATGGAACACCAAAATCAGATTTAACTGAGTCAAGCATAAAGCGTCGTCTTAAAAAGGTATTTTTTATTTTAATAGGAATTACAGTTGATGTCACTTTATTGATAAATCGTTATAGTTGAATTTTTCATATTTTTAAGCATTCAAAATCTGTGGAAATAAACAGAAATCAGTCTGAAGAAACAAAGAATATCTCGCAAGAACGAAAATTAAATAATCAGATTGTTATGAATTTAAACGGTTCTCTTAATGACAATGTTAATTCTAAAGATGAAACTGAGTCAAACATAGAATTTTATGATGAAATTGATTCTCAACGAAGAGAATCAAATGCTTTTCAAGTTCTGATGAGTCATAGTAAACCAATACAATATAAATCACTACCACAGCAATCCATAGAAGATAGTGAGAATAAAGAGAAATCAGATTTAAAAGAATTCAGATCTAGGTGCAAAGAAAAGCTCATAGCTTTGGCCGATAAAAAAGGATATTCAAAAAAAAAAATAGCTGAAATGGAAGAGGGTGAGAGAATAGAAAAGAATATTGAAAATCGTATAAGGTTCTTTAAAGGCGAGAATAAAAGCAACATATATGAAAAGGATAACAGCTTTGAATTATCGATAAAAACTAACAAACAATCTGGAAACTTGCTAGATTATTTTAGGTAATATTTAAATTTATATTTATCTGTATAATTTTATATAATATAAGTTATATTGTTAGATTTTACTACTGATTTTTTTATCATAGCAAATCACCATTGGGATTAACAAATAAGGATGAAAAATGTATGTCTACTTTTACTGTAAAAGCAGATGTACATAGAACTGATAATTCTGATATTGAACCTATGAGGAAGCTGAAATCAAATGAGAAATATCTTAATAAGAAATGTCCGAAGTCAGAGTTAGATCTTTCTACAATAGATGATATTCACGTCATAGAGTCTGAAAATTTACTTTCTCTACAGCCAATCAAACAAGATAAACAGAAACGAGAAAAACCTCGTTGGTCCTTGCGCATAAAATTACATTCTTCTGAAGATAACGATTCTTTATATGGTAACGTAGTACAATTACCATTATACATATATATATATTTCTTTTATATATATAAG